CTTTTAAGGTGTTCAACAGACAGGTTGACCCATGTGACCCACCCTGACTTCATCATAAACAGAAGTCTGACTCACTCTCCCTCTGGATATAGGGCAGATAAGGAGTGTGAGGTATCAGGCATGTTTTACAGCACACCACAATCTCCCATTTGTTTATTTCGCCATCCTTTTGTGAACCTATGGCATAATGCTTTATCCCTGTCATGGTATGGGTCCTGTTGGTGAATTTGGGGCTATTTTTGTTTGAACTGATTTTTGTTAAAATTAAAATATTAGGTTTTCATGAGGAAGATTAAAAAGTCCTGCTTCACTCCAACTTCTCAACCCAGATATATATTTTCCAGCTCATTCTGAAGGGTAAGAAAGTGTTAGCCGGATGATGACATGGTGACAGACCTTCCAGGAGGAGGGACGTGGATGCACAGAGACAGTGAAGAGTGCATCCGCAGGTGGGTACTTAGAGAATGACCTGAGGAACTGATGCCTTAGGATATGGTGATGGAGAAGTAGACAGGGTGAGAAGAACAATCTAGAATAGATGTCATAAAACCACATCCCATGGGATGCCTCCTTTTCTAAATAAATTTTTGTTGGAACCCAGCCACGTTAATTCCTTTTTAGATTGTCTATGGCTGCTTTTGTGCTAGAAACATGGAGTTTAATAGTTGCAACAGAGACCATACAGCTTACAAAGCCAAAAATATTTACTGTCTGGCCCTTCTAAAAAGAAGTTTCCTGACCCCTCACTTAGAATGTCAAGTTGAGAATCGTGTAAATTATTCTTTTGAGGTGAGGAAATAGAGATGTATTGACTATGGTCAGCTCTGAGTTTTAGGAAATTTACTGAATGTTAATACTTGATTTTTCCTAAAGCAGGACTATTAGGAAATAGGCAGAAGAGAAAGGGAAGATTCAGGAATGGAAATAGATATGCTGGAGGCCAAGTCAGGGCAGGGATCCTGGCAAGGCTTTGAGTAGAGAGTGAACTGACATGTTGCTGATGTGGTGTCTGGGACAGAGCACACCCAGCCTCAGGGTTAAATGTCACTAAGCCCTTTCGGCTCAAGAGAGAAGGAACCAGGATGCATCAAACTATCATATGTACCGGGACTTTTGCTGGATGTTTTCCACATGTACTTTTATTTAATCCTCACAGCAACCCTGTGAGGTAGGGCTTCTTACCCCCATTTCACAAACCAGGAAACTGAGACAAGGAAAGGTAAAGTGGATTGCCTGATGTCATACTCGTAATAAATAAAGAGCATGGATTTGATCCCAGGTATGTCTGATTGCCAAGCCTAAATAGTTCCAGTATAGTAGGAAACTCACATGCAATAGTTCATATACCCATTGCCTATGGGGATATTAAGTGTCCAAGAATCAGCCTTTTTGTCCCCCTTCCTGTAGAGGACGTGGGCGCTCCAGCTGCTACTGACGATCCCCTTGTTACCTCACTGTGTCCTGTAGGTGCCTTCCTGTAGATCCACCCTGTTAAAGCTGAGGGAGACACAATGCAGCTCCTGCTCCATCCCCAAGGTAGAGGTGGTCCCTGCAGAGCTTGTGGGGTCAGTGGGGCTGTCTAACTTGGACCCCTACTGGTGACCGGGTGGAGAGCAAAGGGGTTCAGAGCAGAGCTGTGGAAGAGTAGGGCAGGGAGAAGGCAGAGAGGGTCCATGAAGTGAATTTGATTCTGATGGAACTTTTATTCATTCTTCCATTCTATTATCAAACGTTTCTTAAGGTCCCATTAATTCAGTTACCCAACAAATACAGCACTTATCGGTTGCTTTCCAAATCCACTGACCGCTCACACAGAACTAGGTTGAAAGTACTATTATTACTATTAATTTTCAGAGAAAGAAACTAAGTCTCAGACAGGTTAGGTACTTCCCAAGGTCAGACAGCTGCAGATCATGGTCTCTCTGAGGTTTCCTGCGTGTTGCGCACTGGATAGGCAGGAAGGTATTTATGAAAATCTACTTCTCCTCTTGTCTGTCTCCCCTTTACTCTCAAACAACGATCACACTCACAACTCTTCTGACACCAGACGTGTGACGTTTATTTTTCTCCACAAGAAGCAATTCTCTGTGACACCAGCTGTGTGTCCTACAATTGAACTTAATTCTGGCACTATCTACTTGGAGAGAACATCATATCTCACAGGTTGTGGCTCAGTCCCACAAGATTCCCCTCCATGCAGATGCCAATCTCAAGTCCAGGTTGTCACCTATGCTTCTGACAAAGTGGCTACGAATCAGAGGTCACCACAGCCCCTTGCTTGGGTTCAATTAATTTGCTAAAGTTGCCCAGAGAATTCAGGAAAGCAGTTTATTTATTGTGTACCAGCTTATTATAAAAGGATATAAAAAGGATACAGATGAACCTCAGATGGAAGAGACGCATAGGGCAATGTGAGTGGGAGAGGGCATGGATCTTCCATGCTATCTCCAGGAGCGTCACCCTCTCAGCACCTCCATGTGTTCACTAACTTGGAAGCTCCCGAACTCCATACTTTTTGGATTTTTATGGAGGCTTCCTCATGTAGGCATGGTCAATTATTAACTGCATTCCCAGCCCCTCTCCAGTCTCTGGAGAATGGAGTCATGGATGAAAATCCCTCATCCAGGAGCCCACCAAGAGATACTGCATTTAAACAAAAGACAGTGTTCTCACCAGGAATTTACAAGGCATTTAGGAGGGCGACCATTTTCCACTGCAGACTCATTTCTCAGCTCTACGTTTACTGCAACATTTCTCAAAACAGTCTTTCCACTTCCTCTCCTCCCATTCTCTCTTCAACTGACTCCAGTCAGAATATTAGCCTCTACCAGGCTACTAGATCTGCTTTTGTAAAGATCAGCTGTGATATCACTTAGATAAATTTAAATTGTCATTTCCTAGACCCTATCCTGCTGGACTTATTAGCATTTGGAACAAATGAGCACTCTCTCCTATTTGAAGCTCCATCTCCCCTTGGCCACCAGGACACAACCCTACTCTCTATCCATTTATCCTTCCTTAGTGGTCTTCTTGCTGTTTCAACCTTATCTCCCTGACTCTAAATGCTGGAGGGTCCCAGGGCTCTGTCCATGGGCCCCTTCTCTTCTTTGTGGTTTCATCCACTATCGGGCCTTGATGTGGAGGACTCCCAAACCTCTGTCTCCCACATCGGGCCCTCTCCTAAGCTCCTGACTCTTGCTATCAACTTGTCATCTTCACTTGGACATCTCAGAGTTACCTCAAACTTATAGTAACCAAAATCAAGTTTGGGCCCCTCTTGAAAATATACTGCTGCAGAGCTGACAATTTCAGGAATTGCCAGTTCAGTTCTTTAAGTTGCTCAAGGCTACCACACTGGAGTCACTGGAGACAATTTATGGACATATATGACCTCTATGGCGGTCTATGGACCTCCATGGAGTTGTCTTTGACATATATGCATGTCTATGACATCTACGAACATTTATGGACGTCTATGACATCTATGCAGTCATCTTGGACATCTATGGACATCTGTGATATCTACGTACTGCTATAACATCTATAAATATCTATGACATCTATAATGTCTATGGACATATATGGAGTCATCTTTGACATCTATGACACATACGAGCTAGAGGCAGTGAGCTCTCTTGGGTCATATACCACAAGTACTTTATCACTCCATTAACAAACCCTGTTGGCTCCACCTTCTAAATGTATCCAGAACCCAGCTTCTTCTCTTCAGATTTATCATTGTCACCCTGGACTGAGTCTGTCTTATGGACTCAATTTTGTCTCCTCGAATTCATGTGTTGAAGCTCTAACCCCTAATGTGACTGTATTTGGAGATGCCTTTAAAGAGGTAATTAAGTTTCACTGAGATCATCAGAGTAGGGCCCAAAATGACTTATGTTCTTAAAAGAAGTAGAAACACTAGGGGTGCATGTGCACAAAGAAAAGGCCATTTGTGGACATAGTGAGAAAGCGGTCATCCGTAAGCCAAGGAGAGGGTTTTCAGGAGAAACCAACCAAGCTGGCACCTTGATCTTGGAGTTCTAGACTTCAGAACTGTGAAAAAATAAATTTCTGTAGTTTAAGCAACCCAGTCTATGGTATCTTGTTAAGGTAGCCCCAGCAAACTAATACAGTCTGCATCATCTCTTGCCTACACTATTTGAATGTCTTCCTTATCTACTCTTCTCTCTTCTACCCTATCTTGCTACGGGATTTCTCAACACAGCATCCAGACTGATCTCATTAAAATGAGTGTGTCAGTTCATATCTGTGAAATAATAGAATATGTATATCTATATTAATATATCTATGTCAATATCAATATCTATACAAATATCTATTGATATAGACATTGATATAGACATAGATATATATCTACCCCCAATTCCTGTTTGAATGTTTGGTCTTTGACCCTGGTTCCTGACACAGAACTCCTAAATCCCTTGGAATTTCCTGGGTGATAAGAATGTCTTTTATTCTGACAAGGCAACTCTGGATGTCTCCTGGATGGGGATTAGAAAGACCAGAAAGACCAAGCCATGATTAGATGCTTGGGAATTTAAGTCCCATCATCTATCCTCCAAAAAGGAGAAAGAGGCTGGAAATGGAGTGATTTTACTTCATCATGTTTACATGATGAAGCGTCAATGAGAATCCCAAAAGTATTAATTTCAGGGAACTTCTGGGTTGGTGAAAACGTGGAAGTGCTTGGAGAATGGTGCTCTGGAGAAGGCACAGAAGCTCTTTACCCCTTCCCATATACCTTGCCCTATGCATCTCTTCATCTGGATGTTCATCTGTATCCTTTATCATATCCTTTTATAACAAGGTGGTACACAGTAAGTAAATTGTTTTCCTCAATTCTGTGAGCCACTCTAGCAAACTAATTGAACCCAAGCAATTAACTGAACCATCTTGGGAGGAACCTTCAATTTATAGCCACTTGCTCAGAAGCACAGAGGACAACCTGGACTTGAGACTGGTGTCTGATGTGGGGAGTGGGGGCAGTCTTGTGGGACTGAGCCCTTAACCTGTGGAATCTGATGCTATCTCCAAGTAGCTGGTGTCAGAATTGACTTAAATTGTAGGACACCCAGCTTGCATCAAAGAGAATTTCTTGGTGTGGGGAACTCCCCTGGACATCTGGTTTTAGAAGCGAAGTGTTCCCTGTGAGTAAAGGAGGCCCACACAGAAGTTGTCACTCTTCTCAAAATACATAAGTAATGATGCTGAACTGCAGGATCCCGGATACTTGCAGCCTCCATGCCTCTCCATCCTCATTCCCTCCTCACCATTAACCCCTCCCCACCCCAACAGAGTTCTGCTTTAGCAACACTGTCTTGCTTGCTATTTCTCCAACGTATCAGGGATGCCCCAACCTCAGAGCCCTAGCAGTTGCTGCTCCATCTGTTTAGCGACCTCAGTGATGCTCTCTCAGGGCTCATATTCCAATACTTCACCTCTTTCAGCTGTTTTCTCAGAGACTCCAACCCCAGGAACATCCCTCCCGATTCTCTCATTTTATTTCCCTATAGAGCACTCATTTCCTGTATATTTTCACTACTTATTTTTCCATTATTTTCATCCACCTCCCCAATAAATATAAGTTTTTGACAGTAAGGATATTTTACATTTACAACACACATATTTATAAAAATAGAGGTATTACCCAAGCCCTCAGAACAATCAACAAGCACAAGATAGCTGCTGAAAGAGTAGAGGAATGCACAGGTGATAGCTGACCACATGCTCAAAACCCTCACAGCAGTGTCCGCACTAGTCAGGGTGAAATAAATAAATGAGAGTCAGAGATAAAAGGATGAGCAGGAGTAGAGCAGGTTGATATAGGCACGTGAGGAAGAGGGGACAGTAGAGCAATGATTCTGAGGTGCAAAAAGCTTACTCTGCTTGAGGTGAGCCAGCAGGCCAGTGTGGGAGGAGCGAAGCACTGAAGGTGACTCTGATTTTCCTTCCCCACATGCCAGACCAAGTTGTATGACAGCTCCTCTTTCGGCATGTGGAGAAGCAGTGCCTCTCTTTATGGAGGGAATGCCAATGTGCTGGGGAGGAGAGATGGGAGGGCTTCAGCAGGAGAAGGACTAAGAGGGGAGCTCAGCTCAAAGGGAGTGGTTTATTAAGATGAAGTCAGAAGAGGCACAGACAAGCTTTGCAGCATATGGGTGCAGGAAGAGGTGATGGAGGACTGTGGTAGGATAAGAGTAAATATGTTGTTGGTTGTCAGGGACAAGAGTGCCATCGGTGAGATAGAGCCCAGCAGGAGAAGAATGTTTGGAGGTGTACTAACCATGTGTTCCTGATTTCCTGACATCTGGGGCCTTCTGAACTTGGAACTGCCCTTGCCAGGGTGAGCCAATTCCTAGAGATAGTAAAGGACTTGCCTGCAAGGCCTGCCTTTGATATTGCAAACCAACCAGCCCATACTCCAACCACTTCATTTATCAGCCTCTGACGCTCTGGGCTATCCTCCTGCCCTAATAACCTAGAACCAGGTACCAGACAACTGGAGACAGCCCCTACACCCCAGAGCCTGCCAAAATGATTCAGACTAGCCAGTCTTAAACCTACTTGCCCTGCCTCACTTTGCCGTTCTCATGGAAGCAAAAATGAAGGCTCCTGTCCACATTTCCTTGTGGCTCTCTCTGCCTCTTTACCAGCCCTGGTGCTTCCTCGCCCGGCCCTGGGTGGTGTGGCATTTCCCCTCTTCTTGGGAACTGTGAGTAACAACTGTCTCCTAATCTGTTAGCCTCACATGCCTGTATATAGTCGTGCATAGCTTAACAACAGGAACATATTCTGAGAAATGCGTCTTTAGGTGATTTCATCATTGTGTGAACATCACAGAGTGCACTTACACAAATCTGGATGGTATAACCTACTACACACCTAGGCTATGTGGTACTCATTGTATATGAAGTTCGTCGTGGACCAAAGCATTGTTATGAAGCTATGATTATAATAATAAAACCTACATTTTCAAACAAGTAGGAAGGTGACAAGCTTATTT